CATTGGTGAGACTGCACCTGGAGCATTGTGTGCATTTCTGGTCCCCTTATTTAAGAAATGATACGCTTGCCATCAAAGTCGAGGTTCACCAAACTGATATCTGGAATGGTGGGACTAACTTTGAGGAGAGATTGAAAACATTGGGTTGAAGAAGAAAAGATGGGCTCGTTGAGGCAAATAAATTCTCAAAGGGCACGACAGTGGATGTAAAAGAATGTTTCCCCTGGCTTTGGGTGTATAAGACCAAGGAATGCAATCTCAATAGGGTGCAGCTCATTTCAGACTCAGATGAGGAAAAATGCCTTTACTCAAAGACCAGGAATCTTCAGAATTCTATACCCCTGGATGTTTTGGAGGCTCAATCATTGAGTACGTTCAAGACTGAGATCAATACTTTTCCAGATACTAATAACATCAAGGGAGTTCACCCAGAGATACGGAACTACAATTACAGAACAGCAGCTCTAAACTGTAGTTTGTTCAATGGCGGCCGTGGTTCACTAATGTCTTTCAGGGAAGGAAGTCTGCCATCCTCACCTGTCCTGACTTAAATGTGACTGCAAACCCACAGCAATGTGGTCAACACTTAAATAGCCTCTGAAGTGGTTTATTAAGCAAATGTGTTGAAAATCTGCTACAAACTCCGAGACAAGGAAAAAAACAGGAGAGCATCCTAAGTGATGGGGGAGTCCAGCCTGTCAGTGCAAAATGTAAGGCTGAAGTATTATCAACACTAGATGCTCCATCTTGGCTTCCTCCAGAAGAAGCCAGCATTGCGGATGCCAGTCTTTAGTCAATTTGATTCCCTCCACAAGATATTCAGAAGCAGCTAAAAACTCTGGATACTGCAAAGGCTTTGAGGCCTGATAACATTCCAGCAATAGTACTGAAGATATATGCTCCGCAACTTTCTGCACCATTCGCCAGGCTCTTCAAATACAGATACAACACTGGCATCAACAAGATGGTGTGGAAAGTTGCCTAGGTGTGCACTGTATACAAAAAAAAATGGACAAATCCAACCCAGGCAATTACCGTCACATCAGTCTACCCTCGATCATCAGTAAAGTGATGGAAGGTGCCATCAACAGTGCAATCAGATAGCACCCGCTCAGCAATACCCTACTCACTCATGCATAGTTTGGGTTCTTCCAGGGCCACTCAACTTCTGATCCCACAAAAGCTTTGATTCTAACATGGATACATGACTAAATTCCAGAGATGATATGAAAGTGACTGCTCTTTGACATCATAGCCACCTTTTAAAGAGTGGAGAATATGGATGGATTGCTGTTACCATTTTGTCAGCTGTGCTGCTTTTGAGAATGAACAGTCATGGTGTTCAGAGTTATTGCTGCACAGTTTCTGATGGAGTGCAGTGGTGCCTTAATGTGCAGTGAACGTAGCCCCTGCAATTGTGTTGGTAGAAATACAGCCTTCCAGCATACTTTAATTCAGTGAGAGCAACGACAGGAACTAACACAGAGAGCCTTGAAAGCTACAATAAAACAATGAACTGCAGATGCTGGAGATTTGAAATAAAAACAGAAATTGATAGAGAACCTCAGCAGGTTTGGCAGCATGTGTGGGTTTGGCAGCATGTGTGGAGAGAGAAACAGTTAATGTTTAGAGTCCAAGGTGAGAATCAACTTCACTGGATTCAAAACATTAACTCTGTTTTCTCCCCACAAATACTGCCAGACCGACTGACTTTCTCCAGCAATTTCTGTTTTTGTTTGAGCCTTGAAAATCGTTGCTGAGGGACCCCTCACTTGCCAAATAGGGATTTCACAGGACAGAGGTTTACTTTCTAATGCTGTTCTTGCCTTGACAAACTGCACTTTGTGAATTCAGAGCATCTCGCTTGACACCTGCCCCGTGCTGGTGCTTTTTTTTCATTTTTTAACCTAATGGTTCAGAGCAGCAGAATTCCAAATTTAACAAAACTAAACAATGTTGGGGAGTGCTAATTTGCAGTCAATTAATTTTTAAACGGGAGTGGCATATATAGGATTTTATCCCAATCTGTTAACGCACGCAAAGTAAATTTTGTTTCAGAAATGGAGATTTTTGTATAAACTAAATCATTTTACTCATAGGTTCCAAGTTAAAAGATTTAATAATATGTGTACTTTGGCATTTGTACTATCTTATCGTAAAAAAAATCTTCAAAATATTCAACATTAGGGATGGCATGGCGGCTCAATGGTTAGCACTGCTGTCTCACAGCGCCAGGGACCTGGGTTCGATTCCAGCCTCAGGTAATTGCTTGGAGTTTGCACATTCTCCCTGCGTCAGCGTGGGTTTCCTTCAGGTGCTGTAGTTTCCTCCCACAGTCCAAAGATGCGCAGGTTAGGTGGATCGGCCATGGAAAATGTGAGGTTACAGGGATAAGGTAGGGGATGGGTCTGCATGGGATGTTCTTCAGAGGGTCAGTGTGGACTTGATGGGCTCAATGGCCTGCTCCTTTGCTGGAGGGATTCTATGAATACAGAAGCTTATGTTACTTCCTGACTTCATTAAATAATAAAGTGTAAATGCAAAAGATGTTCCTGAAAGCCAAAACAAAAGAGGAACCAAATTTAGTGCAGTGTATGTCCAATGAGATTTGGTGGTTTGGGTTATGGAACTTTAAAATGCCACAAACAAGTGCAGAAAATACTCAAGAAGGCTAACAGAATGCTTTCCTTCTTATCAGAGTATAAGGATGCAGATGTTATTCTGCAATTATACCAAACCCTGGTTAGACCCCACTTGGAATACTGTACGCAGGCCTGGGCACCACCGTTAGGAAGGATGTTTTGGCCCTGGAGGGCGTTCAATGCATGTATACAAGGATGATACTGGACATCAGGGGTTAAATTATGAAGAGAAAAGTTGTGCCTTTTCCTTGAGAATTTAGAAGGTTAAGGGGTGATCTAATTGAGGTCTTCAGGATATCAACAGAGGAAGACAGGGTAGATAAAGATAAACTATTTCCACTGGTTGAGGATTCTAGAATTAGGGGGCATAGACTGAGAATTAGATATAGGCCAATCAGAAGACATGGTAAAAAGCACTTCTACACACAAAGAGTAGTGGAGGGTTTGGAACTTTCTTCCTCAAACTATGGTCAATGCAAATTCAATTGTTAAATTTCAATCTGAGCTATAGAGAATTCTTTTTATTAAACAACAGTATGAAGACATTTGGGCCCAAGTCAGTTATATGGAGTTAGGCCACAGATCACCCATGAACATTTTGAATAGCCTGCTCCTGTTCCAATGTTCCTGTGTTCTCCACTGTTTGTTATAACAGCTAATATACTTCAGTGTACATGAAACATGTTTTAATGACTGAGATGAGATAAACCTTAACGTGTTCTGGAAACATTGCTGCTCCGAGTTATTTGTGCTCTTTACTCCACCACTGATTACTTTAGAGCCCTTTTAGACTAGCATAGGAAGGATGAGTGGTGGCAAGTCGTGATCCACTCCAACCACACTGCCACTCTACACAAGTCACCAGTGGTCAGTACCAAGACAACAACATCAGATTAAAACATGACTGCATCGGTGGTTTTGTTTTTATCACTGTTTCAAGATGCAACAATAGATTATAACTTGGTGTTTGGAGTTTAGGAAGAAGGTGTATTGACCAGAGAGCTGGGGTTCGAAAAGCCATGACATTCGAGGGTTCAGATGTTAGGGGTCACGGTCAGGTACAGAGGCACTAGCTGGTTCAGGTAGCCTCCATTTCATCGCCGTAGCTCCTTCTTGTCCCTGAACAGGGGCCGAGCCTCAAACTGAGCATTACAGGCCAGGTTGAACACGGTTAAAGATAAAGTCGACAACATCTAGTAGACCATAGGCTGTTCTCTCATTACAGAGAGGCGGCTGGTAGTGATTTCACCAGAGAGACACCATGCCTCAGGCGAGGTTCTGAAGGTGTGACCTTCATGGTAACATCAGCCAGTGGTGGGGGCCAACAGGCAATTGAACCCATGCTGTTGGAATCATTCTGCATTGCAAAGCGGCCACCTAGCAAGCAGACAGGGAGCACTGAAAGAGTTTGGGAATAGAAAGCTGAAAGACATCTGACTTTGTGCTGTAAGTGGTGTTTCTAATTTGGATTGCTCATGTTAGCAAGGGGAAAGAGATACCTACACAGCCGGGATCTGTAACATATATTCACAAGCGTATTCACGCATACATAACAAAAAGTAGTTTATACGTGCCCCCTGGCAGATGACCAGTGAATCTGGACATTTAGGCCCAGAGGTAGGGGCGATGTCAGAGTGTCACAAATATCTTTAACAAAGACAGCGATGTAAGCAAGTAGAATCTTCTGTCCAATCACATATTGCTTATAGATTGGCCACAATTTCTTACACCAACCCCTCACCCCTCACACCATCCCGTCATCCCTCACACTATCCCCATCCCGTCAGACCATCCCCTCCCCCTCACACTGTCCCTTCACCCCTGACACTATTCCCTTCCCCTCACACCATCCCCAACCTCACTCTCTCAGTCTTGATATTTTTAAGGAGCTGGTTGTTGGGATCTGCATTGCCTAACAGAGTGGTTGAAGCAAATTTACAATTCATTTGTCAAGGTTACTACTGCAAGCCTGTGAGGAATGAAGGAGTGGGACTGTCACTATTTCACCACGGATGTGGAGGGCTAAACAATCATGTTCTGTATTGTGATACTGGACCATGCAGCCCTTCTCCAGACAACCCTGTCTTCAGCATAGCTTGATGACTTGACACCTACTCAGATAATCCAATCCCAGTCAGCTTCAACCCCTCCCCCAGATGATATCTCCATCTCTTGTCACTCTGTGATACCTGCAGACCCATTTTCAGATCATTGCTCTATGTCCATTAGCCCCTCCTCAGATAATAAGCCTCTCCCTAGCATGTCCCCTTCTCAATAAGTAACCATGCCATTTCCAGCCCCCTCCCCAGATAATCCTACCTATCAGGCAGACAGAAAGAAACACAGCCACACACAGTCTTTTAATCATCTCCGAGGTTTCGTTTATTACAATGAAGTACCTTCGACCTCTTTCCACATATGCAAAAAAAAACTAAAGGAATTTCTTTATAAATCATCTCTTCAGCATCAAACAATAAATAAATCTCCTGGGTTTGCTCTTTTTACAACCAAAGTGCTACATACAGATGTAAACAATGTGGAGCACAGTCAGAGGTTCGCAAAGCACAGACACTCACCAAGACATTACTGAACCATGTTGAAGATAACGTTTCAATCACATTCCCAGCTCGGAGTGGGAAAAGGCTAAGGCGAATGTAGGAATTCAGTAAAGAACATTCATTTAAATCGAATCTCCTCTGGATTGAGGATGTCCCAAAGCACCTTACAGCCAATTAAGTACTTGTGAAGCACAGTCTGTTCTAATGTAGGAAACATAACAGCCAACGTATGCACAGCAAGCTCTCGTAAACAGCACTGCAATAATGACCAGACAATCTGATTCAGAAATTGGATCAGGGATAAATGTTAGCCAGGAATTTGGTGATTTATCCCAGCTCCCACTCCACTCTAGCCCACCTCCTGCTGCTCTTCCAATTGTGCCATGGGGTCTTTCACACAGTAATCTGAGCAGGCAGGTATTGCCTTGGCTTAACGTTGCATCAAAAAGGTGGCACTTCCAAAACTGGTGCACTTCCCCCAGTACTAAATGCAAGTGTGAGATAATGTGAACCAGTGTGAGATAGTGTGTACAAGTGTGAAATCGTGTGAGATAATGCGTTCAGGTGTGAGAAGGTGTGTACAAGTGTGAGAAGATATACAATTGTGAGATGATGTGTACAAGTGTGAGCTAATGTGTTTTGAGATGTGTTCAAGTGCAAGATGATGTATAAATGTGAGATAACGTATACAAGTGTGAAATCATAGATCACAGAATCCCTACAGTGTGGAAACAGGCCCTTCAGCCCAACAAGTCCACATTGACCCTCAGAGCATCCCACCCAAACCCATTCCCCTAATCTATACATCCCTGAACACTAGCAGCAATTTCCTATGGCCAATCCACCTCGCCTACACATCTTTGGATTGTGGGAGGAAACCCACGGAGGCACGGGGAGAATGTACAAACTCCACACAGACAGTCGCCCAAGGGTGGGATCGAACCTGGGTTCCTGGCGCTGTGAGGCAGCAGTGCTAACCACTGAGCCACCATGCTGCCACATATAAGTGTGAGATAGCGTGAACAAGTGTGAGATAATGTATCAATCACATCCTGACACAAAGGTGGGAATGAGAGACGCACTAAAGCGCCGGTCACAGAAATAAACTTGCAGTGAGTAACCCAGTGGCTGGGGTTCATGGCAATCCAACAGGGAATAGTGAGAGGGTTTGGCCGTTTGCATGATATACAGCAGTTGTACAGGATGGTGCAGCTGAGTACATGCGCTTTGCAAGTGACTGGGGGAAGCAGTGGTGCAAACTCCTGTTTTGTGGTCACTGCTCCATGAAGCAGGCCAGAGTATGTCCATCACTGGCTCTCCAAGGGCAGAAGCCACTGGGCAAAGCTATGTTGCTGAGCAATGTTCCTGTTAAATGCTGCAATCTCAGAAAAGCCAAAACAGGTTCAGGGTAGCTGTTCTCAGAAAGATTGTAAAAACCAAATAGCATTGTTCTCATTTCTTATGGGATCAGTAATTGACAGTCAAGGAGACATTTACCAGAGCCCAGGAAATGGATCAGGAAATAACAGGCTGCTCAGTGTGAATGCTTTCCAAGTGGAGACTTGCACATTGGAGAGTAATCTGATGACTTGTGTAAAATGCATTTTAAAACTATAATATTCAATTTCAATCAGGTGTTGTGAGCCTGTCTATGGAAATCACAGGGAAGGCTGTCTGTATTGGGAAGTTGAAGACTTTCAGGTAAGCTAGAACTAATTCTGCATCTGGAAATTCCGAGTTAGGTACAGAATAAAGCTTCTTCTACACTGTCCCCATCAATTACTCCCAGGACAGGTACAGCCCATGGTTAGATACAGAGTAAAGCTTTTTTTGCCCTTTCCCCATCAAGCACTCCTAGGGCAGATGCAGCCCAGGGTTAGCTATGGAGTAAAGCTCTCTCTACACTATCCTGTATCAAACAGTCCTAAGGGTGTTCTCTAGAAGATGGAGTCCATCGTTTGCAGACCATACTGGGGGTAGGTGATCAGCTCCACTCAGCGAAGGTGAAAATCATCTCCTTTCTTGCAAAGGGTTTGCTGATTTGGAGCTGAATGTCTTGATGGCCCTCATCCTTAGACAGCTCGTTAAAATGTGCTGTGCTTCACACGCTTAATTCCTACACTTAGAATGATGACCAAATCTCTGGGACATGAACACGATTCACCAGCACACAGGACACTGCAACACCCCGAGCAGGAATCACACTTGGTTAAAGATGGACAGTTCGATTGTCACCATTACACAGTACAATACATTTATCTGGATAATTCCACAGCCACTGAACCTCCTTTGTCAGAGTCCATCAGGTAAGGGAGCTGTGTCTTCTGTTGCCTGGCAACTGTGAAGCAGAGGCCATGGCCTGAAATGGTGGTGGCTCATGCAGAATGGGCAATGTTAATGAAGGCTTCCCATTCATGGAGAAGGAGTCATAACAGACATGACTTCACGTTCTGAATTTAATTGACAGCTCCCCAACATTATAAAGGCATCAAGTCAGTCACAGAGTCATGAGCTTTCGCCACCTGCTGGGAATCACAGGGCCGGGCCATTGATTGACCCACCCTCTTGCGGACAATGCAGTTGGTGCTTTGGGTCAGATCTGATCCCAACATTTTGAGACTAAATCATTTCTATTCATGGATGAGTGGCTGTGTGACTCCCTGCCACTGGGATGCTCCTGTCCTCTGGAGGGAGGTTCCTATTAGTCACAGTTTTGTAGCAGTTACAATGGCGACCTCTGTGGCCATGATTGACAGGTTGGGATAGGTTGCGAGATGTGCCTGGCCATGCAGTGCCTAAGCCTTAAGGAGGAATTGCACAGGGAAGAAGTTCATTCTCTTTGACATTCAAAAACACCGGAGTACTACTGATGTCCTCTAGGCAGCGAAATCAGGCAAGCGGCCCATGAAGAGTCAAAAATCAATGGAGAAACATATCCCTTTAGAGCACATGAAATATTTCAGCAGCAATCTTCCTCTGGTCTTGTTTGGTTGCTACAGTTCAGAGGCGACTGATTTTTGATTGATTTCTTTAATACCATGCAGTATATGTGTCATGTGGCCCACCTTGGTTATCCCCAGATCCTGAAAAAGAACATAAGAATAATTTAATTGTTTCAGGTCTGTCTCCTTCACCACATGAACCGGACATTCCACAACATTGGTCAGTTCCTGTTCCAGATTGTCAAGGTGGAAAGTCAACTGGGGTGACTGAGGTTATATCAGAGGAGATTGACAGGGAGAGGGGTAAGGGGTGAATAATGAGGAATTAGGTGCAACCAGCGAGGGGTCAGAACTGATGAGGTGACAGAATGAGGTGTAGATGTATGAAGAGTACTGGGGGTGAGGAGTGATGGAGTAAGGGGTGATGGGATGAGGGACAATGCATTGAGAATTAACAGAGTAAGGTGTGATGTGGTGAAGAGTGAGAGGTGAGGATAAGGGGCGATGAAGTGAGAGGTGAAGAGAGAGGGGTGAGCAGAGTCAACAGTCAATGGAGAAGGAGATAATTGAAAGGGAAGGGGAGAAATAGAGTATTCATTTATTTACAAATTAATACAATACTTTTTTATGACTGCAGGCTATCCTAAATAAATGAGAACATTTTAAGTATAGTCAGTTCTGTGATGTAAGAAATGCGACAGTCAATTTGTGCAAAGCAAGATCTCAGAAATAGCAATATGTAACAATGACTGGCTATATCTCTTCAATGATATTGACTGAGACATTGATATTGACTGAGACATAAATATTGACCAGCACCAGGGAAAGTTCCCTGGATCCTCTTCAAAACAACATTATGGAATTATCACCCATTTTGGAATTCATATATGGTCTTAGTTGGGTCTATCATCTGAAAGACATCACTCTATGGCGTTAACTATCTAGGCTGTAGCTTGAACCCTTGACCTTATAACTCAGAGGCAAGAATGCTGCGTACTGAGCCACAGTTATCCATCTCAGAACTGACATCAGTGTATGTTGGCAAATCGAAAAAGATGACAGGCAGATATACTGATCACAATGGGCAAGTTCTTAACAGAAGGGCAAAAACCTACAGCTGCTCGAATTTCAGAATGCTCAAGGAACGAGTAACCAGTGTGCGATTCTAGTTTATTTTTATCACAGTGACACTGATAATGTAAAACACCGTGTTGAACGTCACATTACTACAGCCACTACTTTGAAATCCATGGAGCTAGACTATCCCAGCATGCAACTGCATTCTTGTTGCAAATATTTACCCTGCTTTGCCAAAATTCTCAAGAGTTCTAAATGAGTTAAAAGAAACAAAAAGTAATTTTCATAGTGATGGGATGGAGTCAGGGCTGAGGGAGGGTGGACTGGGATATTGGCCAGAATTTGTGCCTCTGGCCCCACACTAAGACAAACTGGCTGAGCTGCAATAGCTACTAGAGTGCAATAACCTGCTTACAGCTAAAGGATTTGAAAGCCATAGTGTAACCAAAGGCTGGAAACTGTAGTGACCATCAGAGCATGTGTCTCACAAAGCATGTACATTGTGATGATCAGAAGTGAAATTGTGTTGAAGCACCTCAGAGTAGAACGTGGTGCATTGTAAAGATAAGTTTATTTCTCTCACTTCTTCATTAATTTACAGTTTGAGATGTTTTCCCGTCAGGCTGAACAGCTGCCAATGGAATGGATATTGCAGATGTGAATATTGCAATTGTATTGAGGTGCTTATGAGTGAAACATGTAATTTGGTGACAGGCTGAATTTTATTGTCAATTCTCTAATATTCAATTTTTTTTTTCTTGCAGTTTTCCAAATTTAATGAATAAAGCATATTGTTTGCCAAAAGAAATTGAAGGCCTTTTAACGGAAGTACACTGAGGTGCTGGAAGCAATGCAAAACCCCGAGGATTATGCGCCTGACAGAACATGTGCATCATGAGTATCAATGGTAATTAAATTGATTTGAAGCACCGCAGAGTGGAATATGCCATATGGGGTAAAATTAAATTCCATTGCATATTTGGAAATTTTTAATTTGAAGTGATTTTCCCTTGGGTTGCATGCCTGAATGAAACATATATTGTAATTATTAAGAGTATTACAATTATGTTGAGACACCTAAGACTGGGACTTTTTGAGTGGAGACAAATTGAATTTTTTCAAACTTTCTGTAATTTTCAAGGCAAAATGCTTCATAATCTCTTTTGCATATTTTATACAGAAAGAATTTTCTTATGGCAAAAAAAAAATACTGAAGAGTGCATTTCAGAAAGCAGAGTTTGGTTGTTCCAGAGAGGTGTCAGATAGCACTTCTACACAAAAAGGCCGTTCATTCCAGCAGACAATTGCAGTTTTTAAGACTGAGATTAGTCATTTTTCCTCAGCATGGACAAGAAGAAAAGGCAGACAGATGAAGCTGTGGTACAGATTGTCATGTTTGATCTGATTGAATGTCTGAGTAGGCCCAATGCCCTGATTAGCCTCCTCCTTTCCACTGACACTGTTCACTATTCAAAAATGACCACTTTGGCCAAGCGTTTGAAGGTTGTGGAAGTTCTTAAAAAAGAGGACAGCCAAGAATGAAGGAATAACATAAATTATACTGCACTGAGGCCAACTCAATCTCAATTTCAAAATAGGCCTTGTGTACCACAGACAACTTCTTCAAATCATGTTATTGTGACCCTTTTGAGGTCACCATTATTATTATCTGAGTAATTTATGGGTAGTAGCAGACAAGCTAAACCATGGGACGAGTGAACTGGCAACAGCTAACAGGAATAACAGATTCTGCCTTGCAGACCTCTGAGTGTCATGATGTGCAAAAATGTCTTTGCATCCCTCTCATCTGCAGAACTGTAGCCATACTGACACTTTACCTGTGCCTCATCTCCCCATCTAAGGGAAGAGCAGAGCCCTTCTTAGCAACAGCGAACAACCCAGCACTCAACAAGTCAGTGCATACTGTTTGAAATAATGGCTTCTTTCATAGCACAGAAAACTCTGACTAAGGTGAAAGGAAAGACTTGTTGGAGGAGACTTGGCTTCACCAAACCAGAGGGTGAGTTCTGGCCCAACGTTTGCCATCTGGGTATTTCCCTAGCCCAGACTGCGACGGCTGAAAGGCCTCCATCTGCACGGTATGATTCCATGAGTGGTGCTCAACTTCTTTTTACAAGTGTGGTCACCGTCTGCCAAAGTGAATGCAGTTTGTTTTCAATGTGAAGTTGGGTGATCAGCCTGTAACTGTAATGACACAGTATATACAATGAACCAGAACAGCCTGTCCGACTGTATCATAATTTCAAACTGCCTGCCTGACGATGTCAATATCTCAAATAGCCTGTCTAATACTATTATAATCTCAAACAGCCTTTCTGACACTGTTATAATCTCAAACAACCTGCCCGACAATGTTATAATCTCAGACAATCTGTCTGACTCTGTTATAATCTCAAACAATCAGTCTGACACTGTTATTATCTCAAACAGCTTGCCTGACACTGCTATTATTGCAAACAACCTGTCCAACTGTATCATAATCTCAAACAGTCTGTTTGCCACAATTATAATCTCACATAGCCTGGATGACAATATTATAACCTCAAACAATGTCTGAAACGGTTATAATCTCAAACAGCATGTCTGACACTGTTATTATCTCAAAAAACCTGTCTGACTATATCATAATCTCAAACAGCCTGGATGACAGCATTATAATCTCAAACAGCCTGTCTGTCACTATCATTATCTCACATAGCCTGCATGGCAGTGTTATAATCTCATGTAGCCTGGCTGGGAGCAAGAAATTTCATGGGAAACACCAAGGGAAAAGTGCCAAAAAATAATTGCTCACATCCCAGGTAGGGACTGAAAGATCTGTCAAATATTTCTATCAGTGATGTCAATTCAATAACAAGTTGGAACTGTGGCCAGAACTTTGAGTTTGAGTGTGAGTTCTTGTTGTCACACATACTGAGATACAGTGAAAAATGTTGTTTTGTGTGCTATACAGGCAGATTGTACCAGACAGAGTGCACCAGTGTAGCAGAACAGAGTGCAGAATACAGTGTTATAGCCACAGAGAAGATGCAGAGAGAGAGAGACCAGCATTAACATTTGAGAGGTTAATGCAGTGGCCATGCAGACTCTGGTCAGAGATGTACATGTTGAAAATTCCTGATCACTTCCCATTTTAATTTTTGTCACAAGTTGATAAGAGTGGGGTGGACTTTTAGTTTTGGTGGCGACAGGTAGTGGGGAGGAGTAGAACAGCCTGAGGATCAAGCCATCAGAGCTACCTTTCTAATGTTACTACATTGGCTATGAATACCAGTTTGACTTTAGATATTGAAATATGAAGTACCTGTGATTATATTTCTTCTTACTTCTATGTGTCTACCATCATTTCCCCTTCTCAGACACCCTTCAAGTTCCTGTTACAGTTTCTATCATTTCCAGTCATGTTTTACTTTTCAATCTTAGGGCATCATTAAGATATTTAAGTAGAGGGTGTCTCAACATGTCAGTTGTAAGAGAAGAGTCATTTCTTCCATTGTAAATGTTCCAGTAGCATCTTTCCAAAGCGCCTGGACTTTGAATTTTGCACCAACTCATGCATAGGACTCGATGGCTATGTTTTGGTACACACCAAGTTATGCCAAATGTGTTCTTAAAGATTATATTTGCCAGCATTCCGAATTTATTCTGAATGGTTTTCAGTTTATTTTCTGACTTTCCAATGACCGTAATTCTAAAATGTAACTTAAAACATGAGGGATAATTTTACTGCAAGCGGCGATGTGAGCAGGATACAATTACATGTTCACATCTATCTGCTTCTATTGTGTACAGAAGTAAACACTCCCCTTGCTTTTAAGGCCCGAATATGATTTTTAATGCCAGTACATAAATGTGTTGTTTCCAAAGCAGTGAATGGTTATTCCAGATTGTTTACTCTGGGATTAATCTGGTTAGAGATCAGAATTTCAGTTGAGTGCAATTCTTCCAATAGCATCATCACCCCTAATCAACTGGTCAAATTGGGTGGACGGTCAGGATGAACATTTCTCCAAATATTTCAACAATATTCAAAAGGTTCTCAGAAATGCCATGAACCAGGAAAAAGTGGAAGAAGGTCCTTGAGGTTAGACCCTCATTACGTCAAGTTATTTCATTAGAAGTCCGAATAATTTAAGTGCTCTTGGCTTCTGAGTCTGGACTTACCTAGCAAAGAACTGTTCGACTTTTGCTTCTGGAGTTTCTCCTTTCTTGACATATTCTTTATTCTTATCTTAATGCTGCTCTTGTTGCTTCCCTTTGAATGTTCCTGGGAAGAGAAAAAGAAGGTTATGTCAGGGAACAGGGGCTCCACCCTCCAATTTGTTCTGTAAAAATATAGGTGGATGAGCAGAGACCCTTGGCCTATGAAGTTAATTCCCTTAGCTCCTTCAATCTGGATAAATCTGACCACCTCAGCCTCTATCCAAGCATGGCAGGATACCAACATCAGCAATGTACACATGGGCACTTTCTTTCTTCTTGCCTACATTCCTCATGTGCGATCCTAACTCAATTCAGACTGTGCCTACACGATCATTTCTACCGAGTTCCACTCCTGGCGTATCAACCCTTGGACGACACACTCTGGCACTCAGGCCTCTGAGACCCAACTGCAACTTAGTGGCCGATGTTATCTCGAGAGCAAATATATCCTAAATTCTCTCTTTCAGAAAATAGCACAAGCAGAGTACATGACTTGTAATTGCGCAGTGCTTGGCAAGACCAGCTAACATGGGAAAGCTCTCCACCACTGGAGACTTCCTCACCTCATCTCAAGCTCCATTGTGTCCTAATTGATAGAGATTGATAGAGATGTCAACAGCCTTACCGTCATGTGTATCACGTGATTACCAGGATAGTGGAAGATGGATCACATGAAAGGTGGTCATTCTACTATGAGCTAATGTAAATCCTAAGCCAGGTCTTGCTATTTGAAGTGATTTGGGATTTAGAACATCGACTTAAATATTTTATATAGGTCAACTATTGTTGGGTACACACCTAGGGGGTGCAAAGACAAAGGCAGGTCATCCTTAGTCACGTGAATTAAGGATATCGGATAGGACTTTCACGAATGAGATGAGATGAAATTCCTTCATCCAGAAAGTAACAAGCCTGTGGAATTCTCTTCCACTCAAAACAGTACAGTCCAAAACATCGAATGTTTTCAAGAAAGTAATGTATATAGTTCTTAGGGCTAAACAAATCAAAGGGCATGGGGTAAACATGACAACAGGATACTGAAGTGGATGATTAGCCACATCATACTGAATGGCAGAACAGTCCTGAAAAACCAAATGATCTACTCCGCCTCCTATTTTCTATGTTTCTACATGTCCTTGCTGTCCATAGTGCAAATCAGTGAGGGGCTTCCTTTTAATCAAGGTGCACTGAAAGGGAGAAGTGATAGATGTGGACACAAGGACGAGGAGGTGAATCATCTTAAGTATCCTGTTCAGGATCAGACAGAGAAAGATGTTAGTGCTGTTACTATCTGTATAGGATGACGGCAAGAGAACAAAAAACAAATCGGGTAATATCATAGACAAATGTAACATTTGTGACTTGCATATTAATAGAATTTAATCAAATGGAAGAAGTGAACATTAATTGTGCTTCTATAAATAGCAGAAAATTAAAATTATGGTTTTTAGGTTAGGCGGTGCTTGTTTGTCATGTGTTTCTGTAAATAACTGTTGATAAAAGTGTACAAAAATTGGCTCTGATTCTATCCATTGGCTTTTCTAGAGTATAACAACATCAGAAGTTGATATCATATGTAGAGAGGCTGGATTGTAGGGAGTTTTGTGGTATCCTATCTCAAACACATAAAGAGAGTGAAGCATTGTATGTAGGCAGCAGCTGCTATTGAGATGCATGAGTTCGACATTCCCCTAATGAGGGGTTTGTTGGTTTTTATCTTTGGATGAACTGACCTGGACAGACTGACTCACCTCCACATCACTTGTTTGTATAGCATGCCCCAGCCAGTGTAGCTCAGCCAGCTTCTGGAGGTCATTCTCAACATCACTCAGCGCAGTCTGCAATTCCTCTTCATAGGGGGGCTCCAACTCCTGTACAAACGCGAATAGAGTGAACCATTTAACACACAGTACAAAAAGAGGGACAAGTTGCAGCACAGAGTGTTCAACAATAATACCCCCAAAGGCCCTATGTTAGGTTCAAGAGGGCACAGGGCAAACTTAGCTTGAATCCAATTCCAAAATACTGCAAGCATACATACAACTCCTCAGCATCCACATCACAGGCAGGCTTCTTAGTTCCTGCCAGGACCAGGAATGGAGATGGTGGGTGCTAAAAGAATCTGCTGATCAATGTGCCGGTTCCCCAACTTGATAACATGATACCATTGAAGGACAGACTGAAAGTATGTGAAGCACAATGAGAGTCCTGATCAAACACAAACTGCCTTGATCTGCTACATATATGCACAAATAGCCACAAGAGGGTGCTAGGCTGCTACTACAATCCTCATCGCTCCTTAACGAATGTTATGCAATTTAATTTCCTCTCCTGTCTTCCACTCAATAACAAATTCATTTAACCACTGGTTTAAGGGGATATCTCCTTTCTTGACTTAAACTAACAGAGCCTGGGGAGAAGCCTTGACTTGTCTTAGCCTTAGATGACATTTTCTCTAATAAGGACATATTTTACCACGGATCATCAATTGAATTTTTTCCTTCATCAAACATCTCTGTCAGACTCTGACTCAGCTCCCAAATGGTTTCAGGCACGGCTTATGTTGGAGTAACTGCTGGTACTCATCGATATCCCATCTATCCAATTCAACAGTCTCATTTCACTCTTCCCAACTGCTTTCATCTTCATCGGCCCCTGATGGTAAAACATGATCTATATGTACAAACCTAACCTTTCCATCTCCAAATGCCTTGACTGCACACTTAGGACCATATATGTTTATGACATTCTTTGGTAGCCGCTTTAATGGTGACTTCAAGCCACTTCAAGAGAGACATGTGAGAGACCATACCACCGACTCCATCTGGAGAGGCATCGCACGCTCACTTAGCTCTCTTTGGACACATTGTAATAACATGAATATCACCACATTACATAACTTGAATGCTTTGGCTCCTCTGTCCAAAACTTTGGAATACCATGGCATGCATTGGGATAATCAATTCACAAGGTAAGGCTCGAGGCAATGCAGGCAGGAATGAAGGCAGATGAACTGAGGAAGGAATTAAGTTAGATCATATTTATGTTAAGGAGGTCTGTGGAACAAAAAGAGGCCCTTTGGCCCATTGAGTTGCCAGTCAAAAATAACCTCTTTACTGTTCTAATCCCATTTTCCAACAGTTGGCCAATAGCCTTGAAAGTCTTGCTATCATTTGAGCACATCTAAATATTTCTTAGATGTTATAAGCATTTCTGCTTTGACTACTTTTACAGACAGTGAGTTCCCACCATCTTCTGAGTCATAGAGTCATCGAGTAATACAGCATAGATATTGGCCCTTCAGCTCACCATGTCAATGCTGACCAACATACATCAAACTGTACTAATCCCATTTACCTGCACTTGGTCCGTAGCCAACAGTGCCCTGACATTTTAAATGTTTCTCCAGCTGTTTCTTAAATGTTATGAGATACCTGCTTCTACTATCCTCTCAAGCAGCACATTCCATATTTCTACCACCCTCTGGGTGAAAAAGTGCTTCCTCAGATCTCCTCCAAACCACTTATTCCACACCTTAAACTTTTGTCTCTGGTCTTAGATGTGTCTGCCATGGGGAATAGGTTCTCCCAGTCTGCACTGTCTGTGCCTCTCATAATTTTGTATACCTTAGTCAGATCTGCCTCCCCCACCAGGCCTCGTCTGCTCCAAGGAAATCAAACCCAGTCTATCCAGTGTCTCTTCATATTTGAGACTTTTCATCCCAGGCAAAATCCTGGTGAATCTCCTCTGCACCCTCTCCAGTGCAATCATGTCCTTCCAATAGTGTGGCAACGAGAACTGCATAATCAATGTTCTATAAAATTGTAACAAGACTTCCTTGCTCCTATATTCTACATCCCGGCTAATGAAGAAAAGCATCCTGTATACCTTCTTCACCACTCTGTCTACCTATGCTGACACCTTCAGGGATCTATGAATTATACACCAAGATCCCTTTGTTTATTAGTACTCCCTGCGGACCTACCATTCATTGTGTATAGCCTTTTCTTACTATTCCTCCCAAAATGAATCAACTCACAATTATCAGGATTAAATTTCATCTGTCATTGTTCTGCCCAATTTACCAGCTGATCAAAATCAGACTATAGCCTGAGACCATCCACCTCACTATCAACAACACCAACCATTTTTGTGTCATCTGCAAACTTACAAATTATACCTTCTGCACTAACATCCAAATTGTTAATGTATGTAACAAACAGCAAGGGCCCAGTACTGATCCCTGTGGTATACCTGTGGTCACAGGCTTCCAATCACAAAAACATCCCTCCACCAACACCCTTTGCCTCCTGTTTGCAAACTAATTTTGGATCCAGTTTTCCAACTTTTCCTGGATCCCATAGGCTCTTACCTTTTGGAGCAGTATTCATTGTGGGATCTTGGCAAAGGTCTTATTGAGGTCCATGTAAACCACTTCAGCTGCACTATCGTCATCTATATCTTTAGTCACCTTTTTGAAAAACTCAATTAAAGTAGTCAGACAGGATTTCCCTTTAACCATGCTGACTATTCCTGATCAATCCCTGTCTTTCCAAATGCTGATTAATCCTGTCCTTCAGAATTTTTGTCCAATAATTTCTGTACAAATGATGTCAGACTAACTGGTCTGTAATTACCTGGCCAATCTCTGCTGACCTTCTTGAACGAAGGAACCACAAGTTATTCTCCAGTCATCTGGCACTTCACCTGTGGCCAGAGTGGTATTAAATATCTCTGCCAGGGCCCCCAGCAATCTCCTCCCTTATCTCGCATAGCAACGTGGGATACATCTCATCAGGACCTGGGGATTATGCCCATATAAAGCATCTAATTACCTCCTTATTATTAAGCTTAATGTTTAATCCTCACCACCCCAAATGAAATCCCCAGCAACAATGTTTTCCTCCTTTGTGCATAAAGATGAGAAATATTTGGTTACCTCTTTGGTGTCTAGTGGGCCCCACTCTTTCCTTGTTAACCCTTTTACTCTTTCTCTGGTAATCCTTTGGGTGAAAATGTTTTTCCTCTCATCTACTCCAAACCTCCTGCTCCTTAACTTAAATCTATGCTCCCTGGTTACTGATCCTTCCTGTCTACTCTATTCATGCCGCTCATAATTTTGTGCACCTCCGTCAGGTTCTCCCCTCAGTATCCTCTGCTCGAAGGAAAATAACGCCAGTCTGTGCAATCTCTCTTCATAACTGAAACTCTTCCGCCCAAGCACGTTTTGGTAAATCTCCTCTGCACGCTCTCTAGTGCTATCACATCACTCCTATAATGTGGATTCCAGAACTTCACATAATACTGTAGCTATGACTTTACTAGCACCAGTATAATCTCTTTGCTTTTAAATTTGATGCCTCAGCCAATGAAGGCAAATAAATAATATGCCTTCTTAACCACTTTATCCATCTGCTGTAATATCTTAAAGGGCCAGCATACATGTACAGCAAGGTGCCTCTAATCCTCAGTGCTTCCCAGGGTCCTGCTGTTCATCATGTAGAGGGATATGGGCCAAATGTTGGCAAATGTGACTAGATCAGTTTAGGATGTCTGGTCAGCATGGACAAAATGGATCTAAGGGTCTGTTTCTGTGCTGTACAACTCTATGGCTCTATATATTCCCTTGCCTTGTTTATGCTGCCCAAGTGCATCATCCCAATTGTATCTTGCGTCAATCAGTACTTCTGACCATACTGTCTATATCCTCCCATAATCTAAGACTACCCTCCTCACTATTTAGCACACCACTAATTTTTGTATTATCTGTGAACTTCCTACCTTCATACATAAAAACTACAAACAGCAAGGGCCCCAACACTGATCCCTGTGGAACCCCATTGGACACAGGCTTCAGTCACAAAAACACACCTTGACCATCACCTTCTGTTGAGCGCTGATTTCAAGGTGGAACTAGACAGTGTAATTCCCTGACAAGGATATTTCGTGGGAGGCTCATCCAACTGTAATTTATGAGATTGAAGTTGCAAGTAGTCTGCAATTAGTCTCAGACAATTTCCAGGAAGAGGGATGGAATCAATGGCTTGAGCTGAAAACAGTGGCTTCAGTCTCCCTATTACTCAGTCGAAAAAAATTTACACTTAGTCAGAAATTCAAGACATCTGAAAACTGAGAAATGTGCCTAGCATAGAGTCCTTGTTGTGATATCAAAAAATGTAGCAAGAAATTTCCCCACAGCAATCTCCTGCAAATAACATGAGATGCAAGACTAAGTAAAATGTTTGAATGAGTAATCTGTTGAGCAGCGGTTTATGTTGGCCTGACCAGTTCACGTACCAGTAATTTCCCATCAAGAAGTGCCTTTGTCTCCGCGCACAGGGCTCTGACACTACTAAAGACATCCACAACTGCATTCCTGGTCATAGCCTGAAAGAAACACAACGCCAAGATAAGGGAGCAAAAAGGTAGAGAAATCCAACACAGTATTTACACAGATCAACTAGCACAGTGGCTTCGTGGTTAGCACTGTTGCATCATAGGCCCAGGGACCTGAGTTTGAATCCAACCTTGGGTGACTGTGTGGAGTTTGCACATTCTCCCCGTGTCTGTGTGGGTTTCCTCCATGTGCTCTGGTTTCTTCCCACAGTCCAAAGATGTGCAGGTTAGATTGATTGACCATGTTAAATTGCCCATAATGTCCAGGGAATAGCAGGCTAGGTGGATTAGCCATGGGAAATGCAGGGTTAATAGGGCAGGGGGCAGGGCTGGGTGGTATGCTCTTCAGAGGGTCAGTGTGAACTCGATGGGCTAAATGGCCTGCTTCCACACTGTAGACATTCTATGATCCTGGGTCAGGCAACTCTCCATTGGCATTACCTTTGGAATATGGGAGGATGTGAACAAAACTGGCAAAGTGATTTTACATTGAATATGCAATCAGACTCCAAACAAACCTTAAGTCAGAGTGCAAATACTGTTTTTCCCATTTATCAAATTGTCCTAAAGGAGTAGGACAAACTTTCTAAAGGCAGTGCAATCAAGCTCAAACTTGGTTTCTGTTAAGTTTATTATTTACAACTAAATAATAACACCTGTTTAGTGTTTTGAGGTTAGTTCATGAATCATGAATAGAGTCTCCAGTCATTTGCTAATCAAACCAAGCAGATGACACTGTGTTCGATTTATAATTCATGCTGAGGGTCCTGTAGCATTGTTGTAGCATTCCTACCTCTGAGTCGGTGGTGGACTCAGGTGTACTCCAGAGGTGTGTAATAACATCTCTGAAGAGGCTGATTAGAAAATATCTATAACCGCTGCTATATTCGTCATAGAACAACAACCTAGAACAACACAACGTTGAAATAATGGAGGTCTCACATTTGGAAGAACTAGCCATTTTCGACAGGCCGTATTTCTATCTGTCGAGGTAGGGGGCAGGGACCATGTGGGAATCTTGAATGCAGGAAGTCGATTTGAACTCAGTGGTGGGATAGGAACCTTACTTTGTAATGTGGCAGTTATAAATCTTTAGTAAGGTCATAAAAGGTGCTCTTTGAGGATAGATAAGGTCTGCAGAACTTGAAAAAAAAATAGCTTGTCCACGTATGGGAGAGATGAAAAAAAAGTCTTCCCATGTCTTAATAGTTTGTTGATTATGAACCCTAAGTGATATCATTACAGTAATATGAATTGTTGGCTGCATTCACAGCCTATCGTTACCTCAGGAGGGGGACAGGGAGGTGTTCACTGTCGGTACATAGTCTGATTCTCACTCAAAGAGGTGTTTAAAGGATTAGCTGTCTTTGCTGTCAAGTTATGAACACAAATATTTGTTTTTGTACCAGATCAAGTATTTAAGGGAATTTAAATATTGTGAATTTGCTTTCATGAATGGGAGTACTTTTTTATGTAGTGAACTCTGTGACACATATCTAGAATTTATTTGATCTCAGTATGGCCCCTGAGGTCTAACATTAATAGAGACTGGATGAATTAGCATGTAGCCTGTAAGGAAAAAGGGTAGTGGATGGAGAGAATGGGTTGGTATGAATTGGCACTGAGGTGGCCGAGGAATTATGACAGGCTATATGTTATGATATGTTAGCATGTTTTGCCAGGATGAGTAGGTTAAAGTGTTAGTGATGAAGGATAGAAAGGTAAATATTTAACAAAATAATTAGGATTAAGTCCCAATGAGCTTGTATAGGTCTTTTAAGAAGATAAGACGTAGGAACAGAAATAGGCCATTCAGTCAATTGAGTCTGCTCTGCCATTCAATGAGATCATGGCTGGTTTGAGAATCCCCAACTCCATTTTCCTGCCTTTTCCCCATAACCTTTAATTCCCTTATTGATTAAAATCTGTCTGTTGCAGCTTTAAATACACTTAATGAACCAGCCTCAATAGCCCGCCACAGTAAAGAATTCACCACCCTCTGACAGAAGGAATTCCCACACATCTCCATCTTAAAGGGGCAACCCCTTGTTGAGATTCTGCCCTTTGGTCCTAGGCTCTCCCTCAAGGGGAAATAATATCTCTGCATCGACCCTACCAAGTCCTCTAAGAATCCTGTATAATACAAAAAAGTTGTCTTGCATTCTTTCAACTTCCAGTGAGTACAGGCCTAACCTACTCAACCTCTTCCCATATAACACTCCCTCCATACCCAGTATCAGCCTTCTCTGAGCCTTCTCTGGACAGCCTCCAATGGCAGTACATCTTTCCTAAGATAAGGGGCTCAAAACTGTTCCCAGTATTCCAGCTCTGGCCTGATTAGTGTCTTGTATAGTTTTAGCACGACCTTCCAATTCATCAGAAAGAAAAACAGAAATTGCTGGACAAGGTCAGCAGGTCCAGCAGCATCTATGGGGAGAGAAAACAGAGTTAATGCTTCTGGTTAAGTGACCCTTCTTTAGAACGTCTTGCGAAGAAGGGTCACTGCACCGAAATGTTAACTCTGCTTTCTCTCTACAGATACTGCCTGACCTGCTGAGTTTTCCCAGCAATTTTTTGTTTTTATTTCTGATTTCCAGCATCCTCAGTTCTTCTGTTTCTTTTTTCCCAATTTTTATATTGTGTTCACTTTGAAACAAAATAAATATGACATTTGGCCTTCTGCTGAACTTGGATGCTAGCTTTTAATGATTCATTCCCCAAATACCTCTGTTAAGTAGCATTCTGCAGTTTTTCTCCATTTTGATAATATTTGGCTCCTCTATTCTTCTTTCCAAAGTGTACACAATCATATCTTCCCATGTTGTATTCCGTCTGCCACGTTTTTGTCCACTCTTTTAACCTGTTTATATTCCATAGACTCTTTGTGTTAGCCTCAGCACTTGCCCTTCCACCTATTATTTTGTATCATCTACAAGCTTGGCTACAGTACATTCATTTTTCTCAGCCAAATCATTCATATATATTGTAAATAATTGTAGCCTCAACACTGATTCCTGTTGTGCACCACTACTTACAGCAACCCTGAAACTGCTCCCTTCATCCCAGTTCATCTATTGCATGTGGCTGCCTTTGATCTGTGCCTGGGTTGGCTTGTCCAATTCCATTCTGCACCCACACGTCACTGTCAGAATGAAGTTCCCAACATCTGGGGCTCATTTCCCTAAGGTGGGTACCTTTAATCAGGAGTGAAAACCTAGTCCCTTGTGTCATTTCTGATATACAGAAATATTGAAAATAGGAACAGGAGTAGGCCCTTCAGCTCTTTGAGCCTGCTCTGCCATTCAAGGCCATGCCTGATCATCCAACTCAGTATCCGGTTCCTCTTTTCTTCAATCCTTTTAATTCTAAGACGTATATCTAGCTCCTTCTTGAAACCATTCAATGCTTTGCCCTCAACTGATTTCTATGACAGAGAATTCCACAGGCTCACTACTCTCTGGGCGAAGACATTTCTCCGCACCTCAGTCCTAAAGGACCTACTTTGCATCCTTAGTCTATGATTCCTGGCTTTGGACTCCGTGGTCATTGAGAACATCCTTCTTGCATTTACCCTGTCCAGTCTTGTTAAAATTCCTCAAAACTTCAGTGAATATAGTCCAAACCAATCCAGTCTCTCTACCCACTCTTGCTAAATTGGGTGAAGTATTTGTGGATTGGAAGGCAGGATGTTAGAATTTAATGTTTGTAAAATGATAGGGGTAAGAGTATGTGGTCCCTTTAAAAGATGATGTGATTTTTCTAGGCTTGGAGATTTTAAAAATGTGCAAATGCACAGAGAGCTCCTGAAATTGAAACATTGCATCAAAAGGCTGTGTGATAACATCTCAAGCAGTAGTTTGTTTTGTTATTAAGGCAACCAGTTTGAAAATCAGCCAATTAATTTAAACCAGGCACTTAGAAACTAGAAAACCAATTAAATTTAAATCTTATGGTTTTGACAACCTAAGACAAATCCTATTGTAAGAAATTAATAGGTCATCAAGGGTATAAAAATTGATGTGAGAGCAACTGCTATCTGTTAGAGTTAACAACCAGCAGCTCTAAAGAGAAAATCACTGGTTCTCACAGAATTCTCTAACCTCTCAGAAAACCATCATCTAACTAAGGTATAGCCACACTCTTAGCTAATATTCTTGACACAAGAATTTGATGGAGAAAAGTGTTCCTGACTGAAGACCAGCAGAGAGGGTGCAGAGCATTCCAGAAGATGTATTCCTGGCTGTAATTTCGAGAGATTAGGTTTTGATTTATTTTATCATTATTTTGGCTTATATAAGTGGGACTTGTATTTATTGCAACAGCATACCATTAGAATTGTGTTTTAATTGGGAGTGGTTAATAGTTAAGGGGAAATTGTTTGGTTTGTTAGTAGTTCTGTTAATTTGTTCACTGTTAGAGTTAGATAAATGCATTGTTATTAGTTGATCATAGAGTGACTGTCAGGAGTTAATTTCATCTAATTTCTGCTTCATAACAGATTGGGAGGTGAGAGGCAGGTTAAACCACTTTTCACACTTCTTTTAACAGATTATGAGGCGAGGCGAGCTTCTCTGGGTGTTTAGGTTTTAGTTATTGGGGTGTGGGGGGGGCGGTGGCAGGGCAGGTTGACCTCCCCTTTATGACACTACATCAATTATGCCAGCCCAAGAATGGAGTACAGCTATTTGACTCATCTCCTTCTGATGGCATTTGATGGGACAATGGTTTACTTTAGACATTGTTCATAACTCCGGTTGTTGTTTGAAGGCCTTATCCCTGGGCCGTCTTGTATTGTATCAAAGTGGTGCTTTATCAAACCTGTAGAAGGGACATTACACCATTCCAGGGATCACAGTCTCAGCACTTGGGTTTGGGGGAAAATTAAGTAAAGTTGACTTACTTCAGGAGTATTTTGCTTTGGCAATACTTCACTTAGGACATGGGAGCATCCATTGACTGCATGGGCCAACTCCTGCTCAATAATCTTCTGTCTCTCAGCCGCATGGTGGATCCTGTAAAATAGCAACAGTGGAGTTACCTCATACTGTCACTAGAAATTGATGATATTATGCATTAATCAGCTGGGGAACATTAATCTGACTGAAAGTAGCTATGGAGCTTTTTAGGAAACATTTCTTTTTTCAGTAGTTGACCTTCTTTCACTTTAATGCTCATTCTTGATTATTAAATGTGCTGTTGTTTGAAACTTTCTCCCTTGTTGCCTTCAGTCACCATGTCTTGCCTGACGTATTCTGCCCCTGACTTGCACAGATATGACTCATTGCACCACTCTCTGCACTAAAAGCATTGTCTATAACTTTTGCTGTTGTCTGGCCCTATCAGACTTCTCTTAGGAGAGGTCTCACACTGTGGGTTTTGGTCAATCCCCTGACGGCATCTGTCAACATAGACAATCTTTTCCTGTACCCCTTGCCTGCTCATCCCATCCCCTGGTGTTAACCTGCACCATAGGCACTGACGTTCCCCTAGTCTTTCAGTGTAGACTGTGATTCTTCACAGCAGGGTCCACATTTGACCTGACTCTGATGATTTCCTGAATTTCCCTTTCACACATCATTGTTCCATATCCCTTGATTCAGTTCTCGAACAAGCATTTTAAACATCATGTTAATACTCAATGTTACTGTGTATGAAGTCTCACTACCCAGTGCTGTCCTATTTCACCTGCCTTCTCACTGGAGATGTCAACCTTTCAAGATTTCAAGGTCCTCTTGGCCTGCCTTAGTTTCTCAATAAAACAAAACGTAGTCAATGCCCTGAGCCAAGGATCTCACAGTTTAGGCAATTGGAAGTACACATTCCTAATGAGTAAATCCTGACACTGGCCAAGCACCAAACCCAACCTTATTTCACTCTAACATGTAAATTCCTTTCTCCCAATCTGTTGCTTTCTTTATGTCACATCAGCGAAAGTCAAGACCTTGGCAGAGATGAGTCTGATTGTGCATTGGTAATTAATGAATCTCATTAATGATAGTGGTGGGTGATCAATGAATCTGGTGAATAAAAGTGGATGGTGTGATCAATGATGTCGTTGATGATAGTGGTTGTTGATGAAATTCATGACTGATAATAAGTGGGTGATCCATAAATTTTGTAAATTATTGTTGGTAATTAATGAGCGTCCTTAATGGTACTGGCTGAGTGATCAATCAGTTTTCATATTGACAGTGGATAATTCATTTGAACCTTGCTAACAGAAGTGATGAGATGGTTAATGAATCCTGTCAATGTTAGGTTGTGATGGAAAGTGTTCAGATCATGATGCCTACCTGTTGATCAGTGTCTCCGCTGACTGTGCAAACTGCTGCACCTCACCCATCTCGTCCTCCGTGAGGAACTCCATGGACTGCTGAGAGCTCAGGCGGGGCCGAGTCACCTGTCTCAAAGAGTCTCCTTTTCGTTTGTCTTCCCAAGACTTCAAAGTGCTTTCAAAGGCCTGAAGAGGAACATTAGAATGTGAAGAATCCATAAGGGATTAGCTGAAACATTTCAAAGCTTCCTATACACACTTCTCTGAAAATAAAGAAACTGCCACCTGCATAATGAAGCTACCCTTCTCCTTTCCTTTTTTACATTTTCTTTTCTATTCTTCTTCTGTGAATACTTATTCAATTCCCCTTTGAATGATGTTCTTGTATTTACTTCAATAGCTCCTTTGCTAAAACATTCCTACATCTAGTAGCCCTGTGTGAAAATATTGCATCCAATTTCTTCCTTTATCCTTCCTGAGTACTTTCAATTGATGTTCAGGCACATGTGCAGGTCATTTTACACTCTCCATCATTCAATTAAATTATACTTCATTGGTATCATAACCCCCTTTCACACATCATTGTTCCATATCCCTTGATTCAGTTCTCGAAC